CCAGCCTGGCCTTCAATGTCTCCAGGGATGGGGCACCCACCACCTCTCTGGGCAACCTGTGCCACAGTTCTCTCACCCTCATTGTAAAGGATTTCTTCCTCCCATCCAACCTGAATCCCTTATTTCCTCAACATCATCTGTGGCTGACCACTGATTCTGCTTCAGACCAAGGGCAACAACCTAGCAGGTTATTGAGTATCAGTTCTCTGTTCGCTATAGGGGACTTCCAGCATGGGAATGTATGAGGCTGGAAGCTTATTCCCTGCAAGTCCCAGAGTCCCAGTGATGATCTGAGCACCCACCTCCATGATCCCTGCCTCAGCTGTTGATGGAGAACATGCCCCAATGCCTGGAGGCTTTGGTCCTGGAGAGAGGGGACATCACCAGCTGCCTCTTGCTGCTGCCTCTATGGGCACCAGGCCCCCAGGTGCATCCTTGCATTTGCCTTCTCTCTACATCATGCAAGTTTTTCTCTTTTCTGAAGCAGCACTTTGGGATCCCACTCCCTTTCCTGCTCTGCTGCAGTACAGAGCACGCAGCGTGGTGCTGGTCAGGCACCAGAAGCTCTGCTCGTGGAGGGGGACTGCAGTATTTGCTTTGAGAAACGTGTGATTCCTCTTCCCGAGTTGCATCATAGCTTGTTTTCACTGCATGGATACACATAGGAGAAGCTGTAGGAGAGAAGCAGCTCCTTTCACTACCACTGCTGCAGAGCAGGTGGTGAGCAGGGCAGGAAGGAGCCTCTTTTCCTAGTAAGGTTTCTAGAAGCCCCAGAACAGGTTTTGGCTGGAATGATCCGGGGCATGATGCGAAAGAGGCCGCAGATGAGAGCAAAAGCTCTGTAAAGGCAAAGCTGTGGCAGACAGACAGGGACAAAGGGCTCTGTGGGACTCTGGGAAAGAGGAGGGAACAAAGACAAAGCCTCAAATCAGAGAGTAAAATGGTAAATGAGGCACAAAGGAGTGAAGAGCAATGACCCTGTTGCCGCTACTCCAGCCACAGTTTCCAAAGCAGGACTGTGAACCACCAGCCCCGTCAGGGCTGGAACAGAAGCCCCCAGCTCACCACGGGCAAGAGCAGAGCATCGCGGGTTTGGCAAAGCGAAGGGCTCCTGCCTGTGGGATGTGGGAGCCTGGAGGGGCAGAGGGAGGCGCTGCAGGTACGTGTCCGTGGCAGGAAGGACCACGCACCCGCACGGAGGGATGCGCTGGGGGAGCAGGGCTCTCCTGCCAGCTCAGAGCTCACAGGTCCCACGGGACAAGGGGCAGGCTGGGGCCGTGCTCTGCAGGCTGGGGTCTGAGGCTTGCTAGAAAGGACTTTTTCTGGGGGCTTTAAGGAGTTTTCAGGTCGTTTCCTTCTTGCCCCGCAAGGCGCAGCACCGAGCTCTCACCCAGCCAGGGGCTCGGGCTGCCTCCACAGCCCTGTGTCACACCGGGTGCTCCGACTTTGGCATCGGTAGCCTGGGAGCCCTGTGCACTCCCCAGCACTGTCGTGGCTGTCCACGAGAGCCAGCAACACTTCCCCAGTTCCTCTTTGCCCATCACAGGCATCTCACAGGCACTCGCAGGGAGGAAAAGGGTGCGTGCAGCTTCTGCTGTGGTTTAACACATCCATGAGGAAGTTGTGCATCCACTCTTGTGTGGAGAAAACCCTTTTGTTCCTGTGGAAACCCTGAAACCACACAGGGCATGACACTGCGGAGAGCACCCAAACCTGGCAAAGAGGCAACTTCAGGGATGCTGCAACCATGAACCCCCAAAGGAGCAGAGTGTCGGCCAGCTGAGGGTTTATGGGCTTTGGGCTGGTGTCTCCACCACAGGGCTGGGGTTCCCACGCGGAACAGGGGAGCAGAGCTACCTGACACGGTGCACAGCAGAAGTCTGGGGTTGCCCTGGCAGGAAGCAGGATGCCCGGCTCCAGGCTTTGCACAGTCCAGACCCGCTGGGGTGCTCGCTGATGCAGCGGGCAGGAGATGCTCTGTGCACACAGAACGTACACATGTGGAAGCGGAGGCGTCTGAGGAAGGTTTCGTTTCCCTGCAGTGGCTGCTGAGAGAGGCACTGAAGCTATTCTGGGAAAACTCAGTGTCCCCTTGGCATGCAAAGCAGCCGAGCAGCCAGGCAGCCACACGTGGGTTTCAGTTGGAAGGGACCTTAAAGCTCATCCAGCTCCAACCCCTGCCATGGGCAGGGACACCTTCCACTAGAGCAGGTGTGCTGCCCCATCAAAGCTGTGGAGCTCACTGCTGACATAGCCCTGCCACGCTTCAGGTGGGTCCCTCTTGTTTAAGCCCGGAAGCCATCATCATCAGGGATCTGTTAGTTGTAAACTGCAAGCAAACAGGAGTCTTGCCTGAATGCTCTGAGAGATGCTGTTGAGCTGAGGCAGCTCTTTCTGGGGTGAAATAGCAGGACACTTCACTCCTAAAGCTGTCTGACAAGTAGGAAGTAGTAATAGAGCCCAACAACATTAGCAATCATTTGTGTGCCTATAAATAGTGAACAGCTCTGTTCCAGCTGACAGTATTTCCATCTCATGCATAAAGATGCTTTGCCCAGTCTCTCACTTCAGTCTCAGGTGAAGCTCCACCCCAGGTAACTCCATGCCCTTGGCAGATGTTGGATTTCTGGCCTGGAGGATGGGATAAGAGATTCCCTGCACATTTTAAAGGCTGCTGGGTAAGACAAGGAGGGTCACAAGGGCTGTGACGAGAACAGGGTGCTCTGGTGTGGCAGGACAGGCTCCTGCCTGCCAGCGCCTGACGGTGCTGCTTGTTGCCATCTCCAAAGCAGCTTTATGTAGGCAAAGCCCAGGTCACCACCCAGCCCCGTTCCTCCGTGGGACCCCAGGGCCAGGCTCTCTGCCTGCCCCACTGCTGCGGGTGCACAGGCCGTGGGCACCAGCCTTCATTCTAAAGGTTGCCCCAGGAGTCAGAGGAGATAAAGGGTTCATTGACTCCTTAAGCAAACAGGGTGAAGCCGAGCTCATCTCGCATCACCCACCCCTATGGAGGCAAGAGCAGAGAGGCCAACGGCCCTCCTCCAATGCCGCAGCTATTCAGGTCTAGGCAAATGACCCCGCCGAGGGCAATGGCTGTAAATTGCTTCAGAGGTCAGACAAGTGCAAGGAACGTGCAGGGAGAGGTTACAAAACTCCAGCGATTTCTGCGGAGCGAGCCTGAAACACTGGCTTGTGAGAAAGAGGACGAGGTGCCAAGAACGGCGAGCAGGGAGATGGGGAAGGCTCCGGTTCCTACCCAGACAGGGCTTTGGGGCTCAGTTTGCTCTTGGTGCTGCTAAGACATGAGGTCACCTGGAGCCCCACAGGGAGAGGAGGGCAGCAGAGGTCCCCTGGGTACAGCGGGTGAAGCAATGTTTGGTCTGGCTGCAGGGCAGCTCATTCCATCACCCGCTCGGTCAGGAGGTGGCACTCCCCCCAGCACAGGAGCTTTCCAAGTCCCTTGTGCTCCAATCAGTAGCAACTTCCCACATCGTGATCCCAAACCACTTTAAGGAAGGCAAATGACCTGGCCAGCATCTCCCAGCTACTATGTGGCCTTGTCCCCACCATGTGTGGGGCAGGCACATGAGCATCGCCCACCGCAGCAGCGAGCTTTGCCATTGCAATGTTTGAATCAAAGACAAGCTCCTGCTCCGTCTTTCCCCCTTGGAAACTGGACACAAGGGCTGCTTTTCACTGCACACAACACCAGGAGCAGGTAAGCAGTGGTTGCTACTCCCAAAGCAGCTTAAAGCCACCACCCAAAACCAATGTCTAGGAGCTGTACAAGCTCAGTGATGAAACCCTTAGTAACCAAAGACCTAATTAAACAGCCACCAACACGTGGCCAAAGGCTCAAAGCAGTAAGAGGCTCTTTTGTGCTGAGCACTGCAGGCATGCCCTGTGATTTGCACGAGTCACCTCTTTCACGGCACAGACATGACCATGCCTTCCCTGTACAAACTGTCCAGAGATAAGAGACAAGGAGCGCAGATGATTTTCAACCCCAAATCCCACCTAGGACCCCCCCACCTTTCACCGTCCAAGCCGCTGTGCTAAGAACTGGTGTTTTACTGGTTTATGGGGGAGGAAGGGAAGGGGAAGAGGACAGAAGGCCACTGGGAGGTCACAGAACCACATGAACCAGACGGGCCAGGCCATCAGAGCAGATGAACCAGGGGCCTCCCGAGGTCAGCAGCACAGAGCTATGCACACATGTTCTCGCACACCCCCTGCTCAGGAGCGCTGCCAAGCCCTCTCCAAACCCCCCTCCAGCCCCACTGTGCTGCTACAAGCGGTCTGGCACTGGAAGAAACCTCGCGTCCGTCCCCAAGGGCTGTTTTCGGAGCAGCCGCTTGCAGCCCCTCTCGCAGGCAGGGCATCATTACCCCACATCAGTCTGAAACGGTTCCCTGCCGAGCCTCAGAGCATCTCATCACACCTTCCCTCCACACCAGCAGCTGCCCAGCACCCCCCTCAGCTCCCCAGGAGCCAGGCACGGAGCTGCATGGCAGCTGCCCCACAGCGGGGGGGGGAATTTGAAACCTTAGACCTCACCTCTTCATTCCAGCACCGAGCCCCATAACCTGCTTGGGTTTTGGTTACCATTGCAGGGCAAACAACCCCCAAGGGTATTTTGGAAGTAGCAATAGTGCTCAACAGCATCAGCAATAGTTTTTGTGCCTATAAATAGCAAACACCCCTGTTCTAGAGGGTGATATTTTCATCCCATGGATTAAGATGCTTTGCCCAGTCTCTCACTTTGGGTCCCAGATAAATCCCAAGTGTCCCCATGCACTTTAGGGGGTAACGCATGCTGCACAAGGAGCTTTAAGACAACAGCTTAGATCCCAGACCTTTCACAAAGAAGCATTTAAAACAAGAACATCAGCATCTCACATTTTTGGGTTGAATCCATAGAGAATAAACATGAGAAACAACATTTTTGTTCTAAACCCTTCCCTTTCTCACCCACCTGCACTTCCTGCAGCGTGACTTACCTGCCCTGCCTGAGCTAAGGTGCTGAAATACCTCTTCTGAGGTCCCCAGTACAGCAGCACACAGAGCAAACTGGAAACTGCCCACAGCACAGGAACAACCTTTAACTCTGCCCCTTAACTGGGAGAGGGCTTTAAAGCCCTTTTCAACCTGACCCCAGAACTGCCAGCTGCTGGGGATTAAGTCCCAGCTGACAGAGGTCAGCAGTGATTCACAATTACCACACCTGAAAGGTGGGGGGGTCTCTGTGCCAAGACGGGATGTGTGGAGCCAGAAAGCACCTGGGGAAGCCCTGGCCCCAGAGGGATGGAGTGGGATAGGATGGGATGGGATAGGATGGGGTTTCTCATTGCATCATCCTGTCACAGGGCAAAGTGGGGCTGTGCTTGGCTTGCTCCCTGCCAGCTCTCATGCCTGAAGGCTTTGCAGAGCCCCTGCCCCACTCCGGTTGGGAAGGGTGGTGTACAAGACTTGGGAATGCCACCCCTTTCCCAGTGCTGAGCACCGAGCTCACTAAGCAGGTTGTGCCTTTAAATGGCCTGAGGCAGTGTGGAAGCCTCCCTGCACAAACTGTGGCTGCTTTTCCACTAGTGCCCAGGTAGAGCATCCTCATGGAGCATCTGCTGCTGCTGCCTGCCACTGGCGACTGAGGCCAGCAGCTCCTGCCAACAGCTTTGTGTCACTGCCTCTTGCAGGCAGGTGGGGATGGAGATGTGGGGACGTGCACAATGCCAGGAGACAGCCCCAGCTCTGAGCACGGTCTGCCTTGAGGAAGGCTGTGATGAGCCTCACTGGGGACTGAGTCCTTCAGGCTACGCGTGGGCACCCAAAGCATCCCACATCAGTGACCGCAGCAGAGCCCCTCATGCCACACCTCCCTGCAGCAGGGCAGGAGCTTGTTCGTGGCTCTTGGACAAGCAGGTCACGCTGACCGCAGCCGTAACATCACCGAGCAGGAAGTCAACAGGAACACACAGGAAGAAGAAATTCCTGTAAACACCTCTGGCTGCTGCTATAATTAGACAGGAAGGGTGCTGGCTCCCAACTTACCATTCCTTCCTGTGATTTCCCATCCACCGGGCTCCCTGGAATGGATGCCTTCCCACAACAGCTGTTCCCAGAGAGCTGCTGACACTGCACGGCTTGTAGATAGAGATATTGACAGGGATTTGGCTCCCCCCATGCCTGTGTGCTGGTTAAGAGAACAAGGGCAAGCAGAGCTGAGAGACCTGGTGTCTAAGCACAGAGCAGGGCTGAGGTGCCCTCTGCTCCCCATCCCATGATGGGTATCTCAGCCACCTCAGATGGGAGCTTGCCCCGGTCTGGAAGTCCACCAGACCCGTGTGCCGGGGAGCAGGGGGCTGTAATGCATCAGCTTTCTTGACAGGCATCAGAATAAACCCAAGGCATGCAAGGTCTCTGGGGTCCAATGAGACCAACGTCTGCTGTGACAAGTGACAGCCCTAGGGAGGATTCACCCTCCTGACTTCCCTCCGGACAAAGCCAAACGGCAGGAGGCAGTGGTAGGAAGGATGGTGCTTGAAAAAGGATGGGCTGGAAAACAAGGACCGCTTCAGTCTTTGTGACACATACATGGGGGTATCTTTATTTCCGAGGCATCAGTGAGAGCCGCTCAAAGCGCTCAGCTTGAACCAGCAGGGAGGTAACACCCCTGGTGGAACCCACCCTGTGGGAAAGCAGCCCTCAATGAGAACCCAGCACACATCCTGCCATGTCAGCACGGGCAAATCCAGACCGTGTGCCCAGCGCCTGGCACTCAGCGAGGCTGAAGCACAGAGGACACCACCAGGGGTGCTGCTGGCTGCAAGTTTGGGCACCACTGCCCCACACAAAGGCAATGGACGAGGTGCTCTGCAGAGGCCTGAAGCCAGGGTGATGGCTCCTGCCTCTTGGCTGCTCCAGAACAGCAGGATGTGCAGCAGGGACGGCAGGCCCCGGTCCCCAGGATGGGGTCGGTGGTGCTGTAACATCTGCCCTTCCTCTGGAGCTAGGCACAGGACCCGCTGTGATGCAGGTACCCTGGGATGTGGCTCCGGGTGCTGGAGGGTCTGAGCGTGTTGTGCTCTCCCTGCAGCCGAGGGGCTGTGCTCACCCATCCCCTGCTCCCCTGTGTGGTGCTGTGGGCCCAGCCGGTAGCTCAGGTTCCACCAGGCTGCTGGGTCAGCCCCCACGAGGTGCTGGGGACGGCAGGAACCGCGGCAGCCAACAGGAGCCAACCTTCCCCAGGGAGCTGGGGGACACTGCCAGGAGTGAGGCAATGCCCTATGAGGGCTGCAAGCTGCCCGGGAGCTCTGGAAACCCGGCTTTGTGACAGTGAGGCCACGGCCAGGGCACCGCCAGCTGCCGAGGGTATCCCCGTCTGCTGAGCAAGGCCGAGGACAGGGTTTACATCCTGTCTATAAACACGCAGCGGCTCCTCAAAAGCTCACGTAAATAAACACAGGACATTGGTCTTCCTGAGCGCTTCAAGCAGCAATGGAAATCCTTGTTTCTCAGTCACGAGATACTGTTGTAAGTCACAGCATCACGGAATCAACCAGGTTGGAAAAGCCCTTTGAGCTCATCCAGTCCAACTGTCCCCAGCGCTGCCAAGGCCACCGCTAACCCATGGCACTGCGGCTTTATCTCCACAGTGTGTGAACACTTGCAGGGACGGTGACTGCAGCCCTGCCCTGTTCCAATGCCTGTTCCAATGCCTGAGCACCCTCTGGGGCAGGAATTGTTCCTCAGCTCCATCTAAACCTGCCCTGGTGCAGCTCGAGGCCGTTTCCTCTTGTCCCATCCCTTGTTCCTTGGGAGCAGAGCCCAGCCCCTCCTGGCTCCATCCTCCTGTCAGCCACTTGTAGGCAGCTATCAGGTTCCCCCTGAGCCTCCTCTTCTCCAGACTGAACCCCCCAGGTCCCTCAGCCACCAATTACATTTTCTGTGTGGTTTTTACTGATTCCAAGTGCCCAGCAGCACTGCCAAGTGGTCCCTGACCCCATCACTTTGTGCCTTGGTGCACTGGCCTCCTCACCTGTACCAAATTAAACCCCCTAGGCTTTCAAGCACCTATGGCTGACTATCTGCCTTTATGGACAGGAATATTCTGGTGCTCCCGACGAGATGATGTGCCATCACATTTTCAATGGAGCATTTTCTTGTTCCTCTTGTAGCTTTTTCAGGGCTCAACCTCACTGTGTAGTTCATCCTCCTCACCACTCGCAGCTACTGACAGACTGTAACCTGGAAGTGCCAGACAGAATTGCACTGCAGTCAGAAGGGGATCTGGGGCTTTAGGGGGTTCTGTTTGTTCAAAATCACTGCATTTTTGGGTAGAGCAGTCGATGTCATCTACCTGGACTTGTGCAAAGCATTCGACACTGTCCCACACGACATCCTTGTCTCTAAATTGGAGTGACATCAATTTGATGGATGGACCACTCGGTGGATAAAGAACTGGCTGGATGGCTGCACACAAAGAGCCGTGGTCAATGGCTCAATGTCCGGCTGGAGACCTGTAATGAGTGGTGTCCCTCAGGGATCGGTGTTGGGACCGGTCTTGTTCAACGTCTTTATCGCTGACATGGACAGTGGGATTGAGTGTGCCCTCAGCAAGTTTGCCGATGACACTGAGCTGCGTGGTTCAGTTGATACCCTGGAGGGAAGGAATGCCATCCAGAGGGACCTTGACACGCTTGTGAGGTGGGCTGATGCCAACCTCATGAGGTTTAACCATGCCAAGTGCAAGGTCCTACACCTGGGTCAGAGCAATCCCAGGCACAGCTACAGGTTGGGCAGAGAAGAGATTCAGAGCAGCCCAAGGAGAAGGACTTGGGGGTGTTGGTTGATGAGAAAATGAACATGAGCTGGCTTCAGTGTGCGCTTGCAGCCCAGAAAGCAACCGTATCCTGGGCTGCATCAAAAGGAGCGTGACCAGCGGGCGAAGGAGGTGATCCTGCCCCTCTACTCTGCTCTTGTGAGACCTCACCTGGAGCATTGTGTGCAGTTCTGGTGTCCTCAACATACAAAGGACATGGAACTGTTGGAACAAGTCCAGAGGAGGCCACAAGGATGAGCAGGGGACTGGAGCACCTCCTGTATGGAGATAGGCTGAGAAAGTTGGGGCTGTTCGGCCTGGAGAAGAGAAGGCTGCGTGGAGACCTCATAGCAGCTTCCAGTGTCTGAAGGGGGGCTATAGGGATGCTGGGGAGGGACTCTTCATTAGAGACTGTAGTGACAGGACAAGGGGTAACGGGTTCAGACTTATACAGGGGAAGCTTAGGCTGGATATGAGAAGGAAATTCTTTACTGTGAGGGTGGTGAGGCACTGGAATGGGTGGCCCAGGGAAGTTGTGAATGCTCCATCCCTGGCAGTGTTCAAGGCCAGGTTGCACGAGGCCTTGGGTGATACGATTTAGCGTAAGGTGCCCCTGCCCATGGCAGGGGGGTTGGAACTGGATGATCTTAAGGTTCTTTCCAACCCTAACTATGATTCTATGATTCTATTTTTGGCCATCACCAGCTGCCTCATGCTCCATACCCACAACCATTTCACTTTTCCTAGCCAGAGGCACAGAAGAGCTGGACAGTAGAGGCTGAATATGTGTCAGAAGAACAATAGATGTAAGCTGAAGGCAGCACATAGAGGAATTCAGCTGGTGTTCCCTTTGACTAATTAGAAATTACACCATTAAGCCACTCTGTCTGGACCCTCTATCCTCCTATGCCAGAAGTGATTTTGTTTTAGGCTTGTTCAAGCAGCTCCTATTTAGAAATTAGCTTTAGCTTCCTCCCTTTTGGGATAAGACCCAAATGTCCTTCCTCATCCCACCAGTCTGAGGCTGAGCAATGTGGTGGATGAAGCACACAGAAGCAGCCAACGAAGTGGCTCAGTAGAGCCAACGAGGTTAAAAACCATCAGGTGTGGACCAGTCAGCTTGTGGTCCCCAGGATGGTGGTAAGGCCAGAGGGCCATGCCTGGAGCCAGCACATCTCTGCTCTGACCACTGTGACAACAAGGTGCCGTTTCAAGTTAGGGCTTCAGTTCAGATGTCACAGAATCACACACCGGTTTCGGTTGGAGACGACCTTAAACATCACCGACTTCCAACCCCAAAAGTGATTAGCTTGTGCCAGCTAAGGCTCACACAAGGCCTAGGGAGGATGCTGAGATGTAGCAGTGGGAGGCAGAAAGAACAGCAGCAGCGACACCCTTAACACAAGAAACTCAACCGTTGAAGGCAGTGTGGGCAAGACACATGGAATCATGCTTTAAACATTCATCCGGGATGAATGCCCAGCTTGCCATCTGATGCATCCCAAATGGGGCTTTGCCTCATTACCCCCTTGCTTGCCAGAGCAACAAAACCCAGAGTGCCCCCGGCCACATCCTTGTAGACAGGGAAACGTTTTTTTCCCTGCATCTTCCCCAAACCCACTAAAAGAGACGGCACAGAGAAAGTGCCTGTCAGTACACTTGGATTCCTTCACGCATCACCAGCTCACCTCAGGGGATGCTCAGTCAGAGCAATTTAACCAAGGAGATAGAACCCACCTTTGAACAGGAATCAGAGCACTAAATACAAGATGCTTCCCCACTGTGCTTCAGAAGCCTTGCTCCTGAGAAAGGCAGAGGCTGCAAACAGAGCCTGAGGTTTGTCCTGCTCCAAAAGAAGGAAGAGCAAAACCATTCCTGAGCCAGCAAATTGGGTCTCATCGGGCAGAGGATGGTGCCCCATAGGAGCACACATTATTTCCCCGGGGTTTGGGTCCTTTCTCTGTGGTTTTTCACTGTAATCAGGTTTGCAAATCAGGTGCAGCAACAACCACTCACCACCCGCAGAGCCTTCAGAGGAGCACAGGAATGCTCCCAGATGCCACTTTTTGCCTGGTGCCTCTCAGTACAAGGAGCCAAACATTGGGGGATGATGAGGACTGTGCCTGGCCAAATCCTGGGCACCCAGAAGACAGAAAGGACTCCTGAAACGCTGGATAAAGAACTCTTAAGAAGTGCACAGGGAATTTTACCTCTGCAGGGAGACCAGAATCTCTTTTCCAGCTGGAAAACTAAAGAAAACTACAATTGAGGTGAGTTTCCCAAGCTCCCAGAGGCCTTTTCCAGCCGGGTGGAAGCCTGAATGGTGTCAGCACAGTTCTCAGGTTCGGCACGTTCAAAGTAAAGCTCTGCTCTTCGGGAGCAGCCAGCGCTGTGCCGGTGTTCTCGCGCTGCTAAAGCCACAGGGCAGGGTCTGGCTGGGAAGAGGGCGAAATCCATTTACGCCTGAATTTTACCACCCTCTCCTCAGGAACTAGGGAATTCCAAATCAGCAGACTTCAGACTTCCCCATGGCACTTGCCTGGGAGAACCATGTGGACGAGACACATCTGGGGAGAAGAGATTTAGCAGCTCCCAAAGTAGGGGAGTGAATTATTCTCAAGATATCTAAAGGAGAAGTTCTTGAGAGCAGAAGAAGGATTCCTTTTGCCTCTCAGTCATCTTGGCAAGGTACAGAAACCTGCCCTGGTCACTGTGACGTGGCTGCATCTTCCATTTGCTTTCACTGGCTTCCGTGAGAACTCTTGCCAGCAGACTGAGGGGGGAAGCCAGAGGAATAACATTCCCTTATTAAAGCAAACCACAAGTTTTATCTTGAGTGACAAGGTGTAGCTGTGCCAAGGGCAAGCTGAAAGACAGTCACCTTCCTCAAAACCTGCCTCTTGGCTGCCTCAGAGACCTCTCTGGGTGACAGCACGGGGGTGATGCTTTACAGAGAGAGAACCAGCGCTGCCTTTTCCTGTGTCGGTCACCAGTGTCTTCTCCTGCCGTTGCTCTAGAATGTGCTCCCTCAGTCAGGCCACTTTACAAGGCTCACTAGAAGAGAACAGGGTGCAGCACGCAGGCGTTATTTGCACCAGGAATCCCAGCACACTTGCAGGTTCTCCCCCCTGTCACATAGGTGCCCTCCTGCATCCCCTCCTGCTCACACAGGAATGCTCCAGGCAGCTGTGGATACCTGCTGAATGGACCAAACTGTTCTCACACCTGTACATCCTGGGGAGCAAAGGGAGGGAGCCACCTTCTGCTTACTGAGCTTCCTCACTGCTGTCCATAGCCAGAGATGGACAATAATCTGCATTAACAAGACAAGGCGATGGGCAGGGGGCTTTGTTCCAGTATCAGCAGGTGGTTATATCCCTTTGAAGGCTTCTACCATTTTCACCAGGATACAGCACATTTCTATAGATGAAATTTGTGATTAGAAGAAGCTGCCAAGAGCAATGGCTGAGTGCCTCCTGGGGGAAGTAACCATGTGTAATAGGAAGGCAAAACCACACCTCGGGACAAAGCTTAAGAAGTGCTCCATTCCTGACAGTGTTGGGACAGGCAAGAAGGCATTTTGGGGAGAGCAACACCACAGATCCTGGTGCCAGGGGTGGGCTGTTGTGACGGTTGGTCACCAAGCCCACCAGCCACCCAGCAGAACAGGATATGCAACATGGGATGAAGCAGGTTGTGAAGGGAATAATTGCCTTTGCTGAGCCTTAAACAGGGTAAGGTCGGGACACAGAGATGTTGGCAGTGAATAAATGTAAACTGCACGAAGAGAAGCTTTGAACATTGAAGTGAAGCTGGCAAGAAACCCAAAAACTGGAAGCAAGAGCAGGCTCAGCACCAGCCTGCAGGGAAAGCATATCCTTACCTTGGGTGCCTACCACATCCTGCCCTCAGGGCCCAAAGACAAATGAAGTTTGACAGTGCTGCACAAAGAGGAAGAGGAACCCTTAATAAACTGCTTCGCTCCACAAGTTCAGCTGCACTTTCCGTTTCTTTCCAAAGAATGAACTGGTAATCCAGCCCAATTCTTCATTTTCATATTGATTTATTTGTATTGAACCTTTAAAGCATGATTTTTAAACAATTTTAAGCCATTTACATCTAAATCACCTAAACCATCCTGAGGGTTTTCTTGCACTGATGAAGACAAAAACAATCCTCCTACAATTAAAAATTTTCTGTTTTGCTTACTCTGGGAATTATCACAGACTGGTTTGTGTGGGAAGGGACCTTAAAGCTCCTCCAGCTCCAACCCCCTGCCACAGGCAGGGACCCCTTCCACAAGAGCAGCTTGCTCCAAGCCCCTGTGTCCAACCCGGCCTTGAGCACTGCCAGGGATGGGGCAGCCACAGCATTTGCAGTCTCCTTCAGGTACTTCTGTTGGTTTGTTTTGTTTTTTTTCCAACCAAACCAGTCTGTGCTTCTAAGATTCGTTTTGGGGTTTAAATAGCTCAGTGCTGCTCACCTCCAGGTGCTTAGGGACTTGTTTGTCCTCCACTGGTCCAGTACTGCTCAGATGCTCTGCTGCCCATTGCCCCAGATAGCGATTCTATGCGGTGTTACAAGCAGCCTCGCTAGCTACACACAGATGGAGTGAGAGGGTGTGAACAGCGAGGCTTGATGCCCTCTGCTGGGCAAGAGAGAGTCTTGTTTTGCCACATCCAAGTACCCTGGAACTGCGTCTCCCAACACTTCCACAATGCACAGATCTTTTCTTTGCCTTAAATCAATTCCAAATCCCAGACACAGGTCAACCCAGTCCAGAGAGAAGAGAGAAAGTTCAAACAGAGAAGTACATGGCTGTAATTCCTTTACAATTCCTGACACAGCAGCATGTTATACATCACAACATTGTTTATTATGTGACTTTTTACAATACAAACAAAAATACAGAAATGCAGTACATGAATACAGCTAAATGCGAAATGGTGATGTTTCTCTTGAGGCCATATTCCCATTTCTAGTAAAAGAAAGAAAAACTGCACACAGGTAGAAACAGGTTGGTAGTTAACTCCACAATTTTGCCTAGAAATGACCTATAAATGCATTTTTCTGCTACTTACCATAAAATGTAAAAAGGGAGTTAAAGGAAAAGTTTTACTCACTGGTTCCTACCATATGAAAGAAGCTATATTCTATTTAGGAGGGCCAATATATGGAAAAATAGCTAAATTAAATGTTATTACAAAAAATGAAGCAGTAATGAGATCCTTCTGGCTAAAGAAGTTACTAAATGAGAATAGCATATATTTAAAGAATCCAAAACATAAAAGGGTTGTTATAAAAAGCTTAGGTGCACTGTAAGCCTACAACTTTTGTTTTTTCCATGTGTACTTTTAAACAATGGAAGTGTCAAAAAATAGGGTCAACTGTGTTAGACTAAATTACATTATGGTATATGCTGCACTGAATGGAATTCTTGTATTATAATAGTACAGAAGCATCGTTTGCATCATATTATGGCAATTTATCCTCACTAAAAACCGTCTCGAGTCCTTGCAGTTTTTAATAACCTGTAAACTGTCAAACCACCAGAACATGATTGTACAACAGTAAAATGTACAATTTTGCATTAAAATGACACGTTTCTCAAAAAAAAAAAAAGGAAAAAAAAAGGAAAGACAAAAAAGGGTACTTAGAGCTGTTATGTTTCCAAGTACACAACAAAGACCCCAGACAATTCAAGGCATCTCATTCTCCATCAAAATTAACAAGAATTTGTCATGCTGTTAAATCCATTACGATGGATACAACTGGTGCAAAATTGGTCAAACAGATCCAACAAACACTGATGTCCAGGCTGGTATATTGGCAACTAATACATAACTGGTGGTCAAAATGATGCATTTAAAATATCTTCCCTTTCTTCTTATTCTTTTCCAAGGTTCTAAAAGGATAGATAAAAACAAAAGTTGGTTAAATAATGCATGCAGGCACTCATTTATTTTTTTAAATACTAATTGACACCATTTAAAATAGGCATTTTCTAAAGCTTTACTGGGGTTGCAATACAATACATGAAGCTTATTATGTACACAGTAGATGTGCATGTAACATGCAGTCAAGCAATGCATTTCTCTCTAGATTTCCCCTTCCAAGGACTAGGAGAATTAAACGCTTTCATGCTCAAAGCTTTAGCTCTTTATCCCTCAGAAGCCTGATTCAATCTAGCTTTCAAATACAAACTTCATTTTTTTAGAGATCTAGCTCTATGGATACAGTGATTCTGCAGATTCAAATCTGCAAAGCTAATCATTATCCCAACTCATGATATGTGCTCATCTGTAACTAGAAGCAGCTCAAGATTTTTCTAGGCTCTTCAGTGACACTTTTAACTGCCTTTGACCATGACTGCCAAAGAAACTGCCTTTCAGACAGAACATTTACTGACAACAGCAGGACAAGACTCCAATGTCAGAGAAAGGAAGAATTACCTGGAAGAATTCTGTTGTTCCAAAATACGTTGCTGAGCTTCCCAGTTGGCTTTCTCATCCTCAAACTGGCGACGCTTCTCCTCTAACTCTTTGTGTTGTGCCTCCAAACTCTTTTTCATTTGCTCATGGCGTCGTTGCAGCTATACAGGAAGTTACGAACAGCATCAGTAAGTGCAGAAAACACAGCAACTTCTGGAGCTGAAGTAATAAACAGCTATATGAATGCATGAAAACATCGTACTGTACCTTCTCTTCAGAGAAAGTAACTCTTAGACCAAAACCTCTGAGGTTATAGATACTGCCAACAACAGAAACAAAAGGGACGTTAATCCCATAGCCTCTCTTTACAGTTAACAGAAAACACCCCAAATGCTGCCCGAGTTACAGACACGAGTTGTAAGCAGCTACATGTGGCAAGCAAAAGGACATTTAAGAATACTTTGGTATTTGATGCAACTGGTAAGAAGCAAGTTGCAGAGCATACAAGTATCAGTAATGCGTAAGTCAGCAGCATCTCTGACTTTACCTGGGAAAAAAAACAACAGACACTGAATTCATCCTATAGAATTACAGAGCTGCTTGGGAAGCCATTATTATGAAGTGGGTTAATTTATTCATTAATTAAATGAATTATTTTTAGTATTATTGCAGTGAACTGCCTGCACTGCTAGAAGAGTATAAGTCTCTCCTGCAAGCTGACAGGACAGACTGACAACCAAATGTGTTGTATGTGAGAACGGATGCTCAGTCAGGAAAAGTGATACTTTCTGTGTGGTCTAACATGGTTCTAACAAAATCAAACTCCCTCTTTCCTTACTCTTTTGAAAGTCCCTGTCTTACACAAACCCTTCTAAACATATTTCCTTTTACAGATGAGGTAGTAACATGAAAACCAAAGGGACAGATTTATGCATGTTTGGTTTTCATGTAATGAGGAGTGTGGAGGGCAGAAGTATAAATGGGTTCATAAAGGTTCAAGACAGAAATTGAGGAAGGATATATCAAGTGACTAATTAAACACTGTGATCCAGATAAAGCATCAAGATTTAAAATCCTCAAGTTGCTCAGAGTGTCCTTATCTATTCGTTTCTCCAAAAGGAAAAAAACCCAACTAAATCATCTAGATTGATTTTTTTCCTCTGATCCAGTATGCCTTGGCTCCTTCCAGTGCTTAGGCTGCCAAGTGTTTCAACTACCTCTCCAAGTTTCCTCACTTCCCCCCAGATTTGGAGCCAAACTTTCTTTAGGAACTTCTCTCTTTGGCTTCTTATGAGAAGCTGCCCTCCTAAAACTCAGAATTCATTTTCTACTGAAATGTAATTTTATAGTATCTTAACAAGAGCTGCTTGAAGCACAGAAAAAACAGTTTCACCGTGAGGGCTTCTCCTGGAGATGACAGGAATTAAAATAGGAAACATTTTAATAATTTATATTAAATGTATGTTCACTGACAATAACATATCCCTCTTTCTTAGCCTAGAAACTCTCATGTCGATGATCTCTTATCAACATCTTGGCAAATTCCTGACATGCTTTCTTAACATGCAAAGCAAATTCTCATTACTGCATTGACTTATGTAAATCATGAAACTCCCAAGGACATTTTAAAGCACATGGAAGGAAACAGGCATAAAAAGAAAATTAAGGAGTATTTTGTCATACTGCGACTGTGAAAATAAAAAGACAATGCATGCTAACATGAAAATTACATTTTAAGTTTGGGTTTGTACCATTTCAGCAATGACAGCAAGCTGACAAAGAGTAACTGAGCTGTCTTTAGTCCCAGAACCTAAGCGTGGAATCAGCTCCTAGAGAGATGCTATGTTGTAAAGTCTTGGCAAAGAGAGTCATCCCTACACTTGTTCAGTCTCTGCGTATGGGGGTTTAAGACGTTTTCATTACCTCAGCCTCAGAATCCTTCAGTTTCTGAACTTTTTCTTTAACTTTCATATCAAACACCTGCTCCATCTCCATTTCCATTTTTTTCATCTTGGCTACATGCTCCCTCCTTTCCTCCTCCATCTGTGCCAACGGGCTCCTGCCATGAATCCAGAAGAACAAGTTAGATAAGAACCACCTTTTTCTGTGTCTGTTACGTTAGGGCATCTGTAAAAAACACAATCAAGATGCTGACGCATTAAGGTAATTAACACCACTGTATGCACTGCTAACTTCAACTCAACTTGCATTATTATATTAACTGTTCAGTTAAGCTTTCCTCAAAAAGACATTTCATAAAGTATCTTTTCCTCCCCCACAATACTTTTACATTATATTTAGGCTAACAAACTCCTGAGTTTCTGTCCTTAGTAGAACCTGGTCATGGGAAGAGAGGAAATCAAAGTTACAACCCCCCCCCCCGAATTAACATGTTCCAAGTGATCTTAAGGCATCTTTTTCCTTCCAGTTCAAATAAATACAAAAATTAATGGACATAATCAAAATTTAAAGAGCACTGCAGACAAAAGATCCATTTCCTCCCTAAATCTTCACTGTTCAAAGTGAGCCCAAGAGTAAGTTACACATTACACCTGTGTTGAAGGCTGTGGTCATACTTTTGAAGCGACAGCAACTTTGGGCAACTGAACGTCAGTAATTCATGAGAGCATTAGGTGGAAATTTCCCTCTAGAAAGCTATTAATAAACTTAACCTATAAAAATAATGTTAATGATTTATTATTTTCTCTATATACATCATAGTAAATGCTTTCCTGGATTTCACTGGATTCTTAAAGCTGTATAAGCCCTCTAATCCACATGATGGTGCTACAGGTTTTAAATAGCAAGTTTCATATTAAATGTCCAATAGAATAGGATGATTTTAATCCAGTGATGATTGCTACACAGCCTTGTAAGAATTTTTTGTTGTTTGACAAAGATCAAAACAAATCACTGGCTTCTTGTTGCAGTTTTGAATATGTGTGGCTTAAAATGAAACAGAAAAAGAACTGAATGTGTTTGGAAGCATTGCAATCAATCAGCAGAGGATATCTACTGGAATGTATGCAAAAGTCACTCAGACCAGAAAAATCTAAAACCTAAACCCTATCAAAAAATAGTATTTTCATTTTAATTTCTTTAAAATACCCAATCAAAACAAACAAAAAAAAAGCAAACAAAACT